AAACGTCGAATCCAACCTATCTAGGATCTTCGCTTTAGCCACTTCGTGGCACGCTATCTTGCTCATGTAAGTGGTGATGTGCACTCTTACCAATACCTTTGGTCGCTCTACTGACGGTAGTTACTAGTGATGAGGCTGATGTCTTTCTTGAGAGCCGAGGGAGAGGGTCTGGTACATCATCCACAGACAAGAACGCGCTGGTTTCAGGTAATAAGGCCATGTGGAAGATCGCTCGAACCATAGCTAACTTCGGCAGTCTTCCTTAGAGTCCTTGAGTACTACCAAGGCATCATGTTCTTGACAACGAATCAGATTGCCCAGTTTGACGTTGCCATACCGTCGCGGATTCACTTCGCCGTTCAATACGAGAGCTTGAAAACAGCGCAAATGGAACAAATCTTCAAGGGGTTTCTCAGACCCCTCGATGACAAGGGCCTGGTAGACGACTACCAGGAGATATTGGACTGGCTCGAAGAGGACGTGTACAATATCCAGTTTGACGGGCGCAAGATCCGTAATATTGTCACGACAGCCCTCGGGCTCGCCCGTGCCGAAACCAAGAGGGGACAGGGGAAAGGCAAACTGGGAAAGAAGCATCTGAAGGCCGCTGTTCAAAACGCGCGCTCATTCAAGGCCGAATCATTCAGACAGTACGAACGGTATAAAAACTCACAAGATGAAATGATCAAATAAGGTGAGTACCTACTCTGGGGATTGCGCAATGTCTGCTATATACTTGTTCAACTCTTCGAGGCCAGGTTGAGACTTGACTCTCTTTAGTCTTTATTCATTTCTCTAGAGGATTTGAGAATTGACTCTATTCAACATTGAGTTCGTTCTCCAATTGATGTGACCAGCTTACTTATTTTGCCTTTTCTTCGTGGTATCCGTGGTATCTCGAGGTAATGTTACAATATGGAGATCCCAGCGAGGTGAAATTGATAGAATTCCCCAGGCTGCCTAGAACTTCAACTGTTCTCACAATGAATTGGTATGCCGTTCCACGGTCTCAGATTGATTACGATTAGAGAAGTTCTTGGCGCAGGAGGAAGACCTAGATGTCCTCCTACAATAGATATATCGCAATTAGGGTTCAAGACATATCATTAGAGTTTGAGATCATGTATTGAATTCATCAAAAGTAGAACCACTGCATAAGGTTTCGATTAAGCCACTCGAAGCTAATATACTATAGTGATGACTTTAAGCCATCGCGATCGACATTATCAAAGGTGGATGGCCTTGTACTATAAATTAGAGGACCGTCGATCATTGGCAAGTGTTTCAGGGGATCAGGCATCCACTGTGGGTCGCCCGGAGATGCCTGAACTGCCTTGTTTCGAATTCCTTCGTCCTTTCTTCACCTTTCTTTATCCTCCACGATCCTTCCGCAATCCTTCCGCGATCCACTTTAGATCTGCTCCACCTTTTTCGCTCTCTTCCTGGCTGCCTGGACAGATGAGTGCTTTGCAGGGACTAGCATCATTAGCAACAAAATGACATGATGGACCGTGGGTGTGATCACAGCTAATGTGACGCCAGGCGGCAGATCCACTCTGATCGATCGTCAGCACGAGAGAGAACGGCCATGCAACGTCATCTGCGAATTCTTATCTTCGTACGACCCCGGCTATCGGTCAATTACCAGAAGCTCTCCTTTCTTCCTGCATTCCGCACCGAATTCCCCTTCAGACTCCTGCGACACTCCACTGTCACTCGTTCGCCCCGCGCTATTGAGTACTGCGGCCCTGGAGAGGTTCCACAGTCGGTATCCCGGGCCCTTTTCTGTAACATTCTCGTCGCCTTGCTGTCGACTCCTACGCAAGTGAGGCATCTCTCCAAGACGATGTGCTAGGGCATTCTTCTGTCCTTCGACGCGTGCCTGGGAAGGATGCACCCACTCTGGTTCCACCGCTCACACGATGTTAGCCAGGGCATTGGATTTAATACAATGGGCTTTCGCTCCCCGGCGGGGGAGCGATCCCAGGTTGGGATCGAAATTCACGCGCCGCCTCTTCCATATCATGCTGGTACTGGCATTTCTATCCATCGTCTCTTACGTCTTATGCATGAAGAACGCTAGACCCGATATCCGCATCCCTCAGCGCCCCATCTATACATACGCCCCCGGTCGCGGAACGGATCTCCACATTCACGACCCAAGCATAGTCCGTGTCGATGGTACATATTATGCTTATGGCCACGGAGAACACATTCCCATTCATAAAGCGCCCAATCTAGATGGTCCGTGGACGTTTGCTGGCAGCGTGCTGGACCACGACAGCATCATTGAAAAAGGGAACCGCAAATTACTGTGGGCGCCCACCACCGTCGAGGTCGATGGCATCTTCTACTGCTACTACTCGGTGAGTAGGCCCGGCAGTCGCGACAGCGCTGTCGGCGTCGCTACATCTTCCAATCCCGGCCCTGGAGGCTGGACTGATCACGGAGTTGTCGTGCAATCTGGCACAGGTGACGGGTCCACTAGCCACCCATTCGACATCTCCAACGCAATCGATCCTAGCGCTATCGTTGTTAACGGCCAGGGGTACCTGAACTTTGGTAGTTACTGGACCGGAATCTGGCAAGTGCCACTCAACTGGGACCTCGTCTCCGCTGCGAGTCAAGCGGGAGATAAATCAGCCCGACATCTTGCCTTTGAACCCTGGGCGGTTTTCCCGCGCAGCAAAAACACGAACCCACTCTACGGGGACCCAACTGGTGGACACCCCGTCGAGGGAGCCTTCATTTCATACCACGCGCCATATTACTACCTCTGGTACAGCTGGGGGAAGTGTTGTGATTTTAACGCAGAACATCTTCCTATTCGAGGAAAGGAGTGCGTCCATCCCTTTGTTTTTACCACGATCATATTTTTGATGTCCCGAACAGATACAGCATTCGCGTCGGACGATCCTCTAGTCCACGAGGACCGTTCGTCGATCGAAACGGCGAGGATCTCGCCCGAGGAGGCGGCGAAATCATCTACGGCTCGAACGGCGACATATACGCCCCCGGTGGGCAAGGTGTTTTGACCGTCGATGGAATCGACATACTCTACTACCATTACTGTATGTATTTTCACAGTTTTCCCCACGCAGTGAAGCTCACATGATGCAGTAAACAGAACCATCAGCTACGCACACAAGGTAAGATTTTCTTTGTCTGGATGTTTCCATCTAAACGGAGTATTAATGATTCCATATAGGAAGCCCGACTAGGTTATAACCTCTTGGCATATGTGGATGGATGGCCGGTTGCATTATAGGGTGTTAGAGATAGACGTAAGAGTAATAAATTGGCGGAAGTATATAATCTTGGCGTTGACATTGGGTATAGATAATATCATATAATGCAGGTTTATCTTTAAGCTTACACTTCACAATCTCCAGTTTTGTCATGATACTGATAATCTTAGATTGGGTATCAAGCAGTGCAAGTAGATATCAGCTCATCAACAGCTCAACATAAAAACTAATATTTCAGAACTCATGATTGAAAACCAACAATTTCAATTTCAGTTTCACGTTCAAAATGAAAGACATCAACCAAAGCCAATGGCACTACTCGCCCATATCACCCAGTCTGACCAGCTTGTGTCTACTGTAGAACCACTGCATCTTCAAACCCTCTCCATCGACTGGCTTTCGACAACTAAGATAAAACAAATCAAACAAAACAAAACAGCAAAGACCATAATAAAAAATCAATCTTCACCCAGCCCCAAGAATCATCCACATTCACTACCTTCCCCAAAGCGACGTCCTCGCCCTCCTAACCTCCGGCCTCGCACCTCCCACCCTCCTTCCACTCCCGTTCCCACTCCCAGACGCAGACACGGAAGTAGTAGTGGCAGAAGAGGAAGAAGAGGGACTATCCCCCCTCAACGGCATCAACAAAGGCGACGAAAACGCCCTCAGCGAAGCTAACACGCCCCTACTTCCCAGACCACGACCCCTCCTCGGCACGGGAGTGGTCTGTCCTGACCCTGAGGTACTAGTAGTAGCGGTAGTTGTGAACGAAATAGCCGCGGGCCTTGGTGTCGCCGAGCCGCTTTCCTCGTCGTCGCTTGCGTGCGTTTCGTCGTCTAGCTTTGCGATGATTGTGGTGGTGGGGACGGTGGTGGTGAGTGCGTCTGTCCCGGGTAAGACGGCTAGAGGAACCGGTGGTGCCAGGGTGGGCTGTTGCTGTTGCTGTGGTTGGGCGTGCGTCGGGTGAGGTTCTGTAGGATGGATTGTATCGATGCTAGGACCCAGGTCGAGGACGCTGATTTCGCTGTCGCTGTGGTGGTTGGGGGGTCGGCATGGTGGTGGAGGTGGAATGGTTGATGAGTTTGACGGGGTGGATGGGTCTGGGGGGGAGATCTTGATGGTTGGGGGTTTGGGAGGAGACGGAGGCATCTTGGTGGTTGGTTTTGGTGTAGACTTTGGCGGGGTCTGGAGGTCTGAAAATCCGAACGTGAGAGGAGTGTATAGGTTGGTGATAGGTACCTATTCCATGAGAGGGGGAGAATGGGTTAGATGTGTATAGGGATGGATAGATAGGGCTGAAGTATAACAGGACAAACAAGAAAGAACGCACAGGAGTAGTTCCTTCTCTTCACACTGAACAGTTTAGTACCGTAGAGCAAACAGAAATACTTCTACACATTTAGTGAGAAACAAATCTATATATACCAACAGTGGCGAGTATGAATGTACCCCGTGCCCGTCATCATCAAGGAAAGTGACCTGAGGAATATCAGCTGTCGGTATAGTATGCCGATCATCAATATAGAGCGCTGATCAGCCGAGACATTGATAATGACCGGCCTATATTCAGGTAGAAAGTAGGTAAATTTACTAAATTATCCAAAAGAATGGTCTTTGATTTGTTCAGTCGCATAACATATAACACAAACACAAAAACAACAGACAAAATCACGGAAGACAGACAACAGTAAACATCGATGATATATACCAAAAACCAAAAACATAAATAAAATAAAGAAAGAAAAGAAAAGGTCGTACCCGGGATCGAACCGGGGTCAATGGAAACTTAAACTTGGCTCGAAAGCTAATCAAAATCCACGGGGATAACCTCTACCCCATACGACCGCATCTTAAATATTTGCCACAGTTTACGACTTGTTTGTCTGTCGTCTACCCCACCTACTTCTCTACTGCATAACCATGATGGATCTGCACTCTATTCGAATATAGGACGTTTAAAGCCCTAATCATCCTACTTATTATTATTCACACTTTCTGTTAAGAGCATAGTGTGGTTATCAATGACATCACATAGGATATTGGACGTGCATGATACCTCCTACTCACTCGGAGTCCCTCCTGACCCTTCAGATGACGAGCCAATGACAATGACCATGGTCGAATGGCAGGTGATACAGGTTAACCTTGAATGGCGTGCTACTAATACAAGGTAAAAGAAAGAAGAAAAGAAAGTAGAATAGTGCCAACCAAAAGTCCAGCACATGAAATTCAATTCATCACAGCTAGAAGCTTGCGCTCCTCTACTAACCATCGAGCTTATCCATATCCACCCTCACCCCCAGTCAAAGCTTTTCTCATCGTTTTGTTTTCCTTCTCGTGTATGAACCTGACAACATCGTCATATCCCCTGCACACCTTTTCTTTGAAGAAAAGAAATATAATAAATAATCGTAATGCAAGGACGGCTTTCATACGCCATCCAAAAACCCCAGTAAATGCATCATCATATCGGACAGACACTCCTTGCCCCACCACCCAACGGTCTGGCCTCGACGTTTGTTTCCACTGCCTAGAAACAGTTCGGGTTGGGACTAGGCAGTAGAAAGTGCAAAAAAAGGCCAGAAATGTCTAAAAAAGGAAAAAGAAATGTTATCGACTGCTTCAAGAAGCGTCTGGCTGAAATGTTCGGACCTCGCCTACCGGCGACACTCTCTATTCGTAAACCTCCTGCTTCTCATATCTTCACGTCTCATCAGCTAGGACTGGTCATCCGCTCGTAGCTCCACTACGGGCATCTCCTCGTCGTCATCATCGGCATCCAGCGGCGGCGGAACGAGATCCTGCACGAAGTCATCCATAGGAGCCCCGGCACATCCCGAGCCAGCGCCAAATGGACTATCTGTCAAAGAGCCCAAGGGGAAATCGTGATCGCTGAGGTCTCCACCGCCGACGGCGCAGTCGCTGGCGATTTCGTCGTCGTCGTCATCCTCGATACCAAGCCGACTGTCGTTATCAGAGATGGATCCCGGAAGCGCTGTTGTTGTTGTAGTCATCTGCGAAGGGCCGTAGTGAGCATCCGAGATTCGATCGAACGACCAGAAGGGCGGATCCGGGAAATGGGTCGCGGTGGAGTCGCCAAACTCAGCTTCTTCATTGTCCATACCTTCCTGTCGGTGCGCCCCGTCGAGGCTCGTTTCCCCGGCTGTAGGGTTGTGCGAGTATTGCGGCGGCTGGTCCTTTTTATCCTGCGAACCACCGCCCGACTGGTGAGCTGCTCCGGCTCCGGCTGATCCGCTCGACGACCCATTGCGAGAGGAACCGCCGAAGCGCCGGCCTTCCCCCAACGGAGATTGCGCCCGGGACTCGTTCTGAGACCCGGCTTCGCTGGCTGGCCGTGTGGATGCTTCGGTGATCTCTTCGAGAACCTTGCCGCCCAGTGGACGGTCAGATCGGCGGCGGTAGAACAGGAGATAGGCAGACGATGTGACCACGTTCTGCGGGTCAAGCGCCCTCGAGACAGAGGAGTCTGGTGGGGTTAGCGGTTTCTGAAATATGCTTTCCGAGGGAGGAGTAACCTACCATTATACTCATTCCACTGGCCCGTCATGAAGTTCTTGGCATACGCCGTGTAATGGCCACCGCCGAGTCCGCCATAGTGGTTGTCGACGGCGAAGAGATCATAGATCAAGCTCTTACCCTCTTCCGGACACTCGACGCGTCCAGTCATGTCGAGCCCCTCCACCGGGAAATCGACCAGCAGATCTAGCTTGTCTCGGAAGCTGCGAGTGGCACTGAATCTCTTCAGGTGCATGACCAGAATGTCTGGTGTCTTCCACAGCTCGAACTTCTTGCTGGCGCGGCGGTGCTCTTTGCAGCGAGGACAGTACCAGGCATCGTTCTCGGAAAGCACCTCTTCCTTGTTGAACTCGTCCAGACACTCGTAAAGCGAGACGCCTCGCTTCTTGCGCGTCTGCCGAAGTTGGCGTCGCTTGGCGAGCTCAGGATCTTGGAGCCTCTCCACATTGGCCCAGGTTGCTTTGCCACGAACCGAACGAGGGTCCTTGTCTTCTGAGAACAAGGCATCGTAGGCCTCCTCGGTCCAGTCAAGAACGAAGCCCTCTCCTGGACACACGAAGGGACGCGTCTGAACCGGAGCCTTGGGAGTTGCGGGACGAGAGTCAGCATTCAACCCATCTGAGCTGCTATCCGAGGCACTGCTCGCGCTCTCCTGTCCGGAACCTTCACTGCCGTTGGCCTTCTCGGACTGTTCCTTGATAAAGTTAGTGTGATCTTTAAATGTTGGATGCACCGAATCTTACCTCTTTTGGTACGCTAGCCGGCTTGGTCTTGCGGAAAGCCATCTTGGGGCAGGTCTTGCCGTCTTCCAACGAAGAGAAGCCGGTTGGAACAGCTTCATTCGAACCCTTCATGATCTTCACCTCGAAGAGCTCCCGGAATCTTGAAGGAATGGTGCTCTCAATATCATCTGAGTGATGCTTAACCTTTTGAGAGCCCGCGTCGGACGCGTCGCGCATGGAGACGTCCACCATCCCGTCCTCGCCGTCCACGGAAGATGTCTTGATCTTGGAATCGGCCGACCGCGCATCGTCGTCGTTCATGACAACCGTGTCCGAGTCTTCCTGCTGACTGTCCTCGCCTGGCACTTCCTCATTGAGGAAATCGCGGGTGGTCATAGTGCTAGCCTTGACCAAAAGCTTTCGGATAATACTGTCGTAGCAGTAGGCCTCGTCCCGGTTGATGACGACGTACGAGGGGACGCCGAAGAGCCGCCAGGAACTGTTCTTGTAGCCGTTGGATTTCCGGTGCTCAACCCGGTTGAAGATCGGGATCAGCATCTTCTCAGCCTTGGGGGAGTCGATGGAAGGAATCACTTCATGGTCGGAGCGACCGAAGGCGTAATACCCACGCGGGGCCTTGTCCGGGTCGTAATTAGTTGGCACGGACTCGACCTCGAAAATACCGATGTCATCATTTCCGCCGATCTGGGATTCGGCGATGGAGCTCAGGTTGTCGAACATCTTGTAGAACTTCCGCTTGTAGATCTCGGACATGATCAGCTTCTGGGGATCCGATCCCATCTTCTTGGCAACAAGCTCCTTGAGCGCCTTGATGCTGGAGTTCTTGTCAATTTCGATGTCGACGAGCACCGGTTTCTTGTCAACACCAAAGTAGTAGATATTCTTGTTCCAGACATTCTCAATTGGCAGCTGGAGCGTGAGGTTGTTGAAAGGGTCGAAGATGATGCTGACCTTGTCGCACGCCGGACAAATCAGAGTCGACTTATACATGCCGGCGAATAAGTCCGTGATGACGGAATCGTTGCGGGCCTTGTAGATTTCCCAACATCGGTCAGCAAAGCCAGCGAGGGCCGCCTTGTTATGGACCATCTCATCGGTGGAGTCGGGTTTCTCAATGTATGGCTTCTTCTGGATCCTGTTCAAGTCCTCCTGGAGACCGTCGAGGAGGAACAGAAGGAACTCCTGAGAATCTTGCTGTCCATATCCGGAGAATGCAGGACCATAGCGACCAATGGTATTCTTCAACTGCCGCGGAGCGAAAGACGACGGGGCCGACTCGTCGTAGATTGTGCGCAGCAAGGTGGCATAAGCCTTGGCAACCTCGCCGTTGTGAGCCAGCGGATTACTGGGGTTGAGGTCTTTCTTGTATTTGTCATCTGAGAGATCGTCAGTGAAACCTATATTTCCACATGTGCATATCAAAACATACTCAAGAAGTAGTGGCAGAGTTCCTCGACACTCCGCACGCATTGCAAGGCCGAGTTCATGTAACAGGTGTTTCCCAAGTTACTCAGACCGGTGTTTCCACGGGGCTTGCCATCCTTCTTGCGTCCCCTGATGGGCTCCGGCGCAGGTGAGGTCCGCCCACTGGCAGGCGGGCTCTGGTTTTTCACCTTAGACGTCGTCTCCTTTTTAACGGTAGTAGTAGTGGTTCCATTTGTGATGCCAAGGCGACTCAACGTGTGCTTTGACACCTCCGAGGCCCAGGTTCCGCCATTGGGGCCGGGCACACGTTCCTCAAGAACGAGCACTGCGCTAGCACCAAGTCCGACGAAATCCAACGAGGATTTGCCGTTGAAATTCTCGTTGGCCGTCTGATCTTTGAGCTCGAGGGCCTCACGTTGCGCGCCCTCGGACAGGGAGAGAAACATGTTGGAGTCGATGACCAGATTGCTACCGGCATTGGAAGCACCCGCAGCGGTCGGCGCCGGGGAGGCACTGCGCGAAGCGGCCGGGGTGATGGCGGCCGACCCAGTTGCGCTGGTTAGGCCGCCCAAGATTCTCCAGATGCGAACCTTGGTGGAGATATTGACGTTGGCCAAACCCTTGGCTTCTCTCAGCCACTTCTGAGCATTTGCATGTCGACTCGACAGCATCCTGGCAGGCTTCCTCGACTTGTCTTTCAGGGCATGTGGCGTCGTGCCCGTAGACGGATTGGGGAGCTTCAGAATCGTAAAAATGGGGGGGTTGATTTCGTACTGGATGTTTTCAGCAGCACCCACAGGACTGGTGTTGTGGGCGTAACGGACGATGATGGGCGACTGATCGGCGAGACCGTACCATTCGATGATCAGATCCCAGGCTTCCTGCGGAACGATCTCCAAATCCTCCGACATCTGAAGACCGGGCCGCAGGGGCACAAACGGCTCGCCGGCCTCATCTTTCAGCCCGGCGATGGCGGGATCCGTCACTAGGACCAAGTCTGAATTGTCGACCGGGCCCACCTCCCCTTCCGTGGCCGTCTTGTCCGTGGTACCTCCATGGGTCGCGCTTCGGGCGAGCACCCGTTTCAGCCAACCCATGGACACCACGTATCCTTTCTGTTTGTCCTGCAGGGGTTGCTGC